CTAATGAACTTAAAATGTAGTAAATAATGCATTAAGAATTATTTTAATGTTAACTAAAAATCTAACTATAATAAGTAAATAATTGTCAGTTAAATTAAATTAATAACTTATTTAATTTATCAGAATGGAATTTAATCAATGATTGAACAATAATTATAATGGTAAAAATATAACATCTAGCTCACTTTGAAGGGTAGCATTTATAAGTCTCGGAATGCTTAAGCAAAATAACTTTCGGGAGCTCAAAGTAAGTGATTTGTGAGGGTAAAATTGCTGTTTTGAATGAGGACAATATCTCTAATTGTGACCCTTGGTGAGATATTTACCTCAAATTTTCCTTCTTGTTAAACCTGCAATAGACTTAACACAGCATATGACATGATTCTTAGTGCATTCCAGTAGTCAGTGCAATGGCACTTTTATGTTTTATGAGTCTTTAGCCTTCTCTAGTAAAGTAAAAATAGTTTATTTTTAGCATTGTTTTGAGAAATAGTTCTGTATTTCTTCATTTTTTAATTTTACCCCTTTCAAGGGTTTTCAAAATTCTCTTGTGAAGGATCACAAGTAGACAATCAATTTCTTTTCACTTTTATTACTCCTACAGGCAAAAGGTTTAATTTTAAGGTTAGTGACAAGTTTTTAAAAGTGCCGATGAGTAAAATTTTCAGTCTCGCTTGAGATATTACAAACCCCACTCTATCTTTTCCTTTCAATCTTTAATTTCCAAAATTTAATAGCATCAATGCCCCTTATGTAGAAATAATCCTGCCAAGTTTCAAAATTTTTGATTTATCCAGTCCCGAGATATAATGCGAAATAGATGCCAATCCATGGACACAGAATTTTGTATGGGTTCTTTTTTTACATTTTTGGGCTCCTTAAGTGTCAAAATGTTACAAAATGCAAAAAAAAATCTGGGGGATCGAAATGTAATTTGACTGATCACCATAATTTCCCTGTCTATGACAGTCGGAAAAGTATAAAAGTACTTTTGAACCGCTTGCATCCGTCGTCAGGAATTTTCTTTCAATTTTAGCCCATGATGGTGGACTTAAGATGTTCAAAAGTACTAAGGAACTGATGTATATTGCTCTTTCAGCTCCAGTAAAGCAGTTCTTTTTGTGTTACAAAGTCAAGTGTGTGCGTATATATAATTACAAATGTTACATGATATTTTAAATAATATTTTGAAGTTATGATACGTTTAAAATATTTCCTGATGCTTTACATATGGCATTATCTTATAATTTAAATACCTGAGCTAGAAACAATAAAAAAAATTGTGAAATTGTACCTTAAATTGCATGCAATATAATTCAACTAATTATTACAGTGCAAAGTTTAACTAATGAAATCTGTTTCATAAACATGATATGGATAGGATAAGTCACTTGATATTTTTTAAGATAAGATTTTTATTAGAAAATTGGTGATATTGAAGTATTAAACAGTTTATTCTTTTTTTAAATAGATAAACATTTGTTAAATTTATCAATGAACTAATAGGAAGATATACTTTATTGGAGTGAAATTTAAATACTTAAACTAGCAAAGTGCAAATGTACTTAATTTATATTCCCAAANTTGAATGAGGACAATATCTCTAATTGTGACCCTTGGTGAGATATTTACCTCAAATTTTCCTTCTTGTTAAACCTGCAATAGACTTAACACAGCATTGTTTCATAAACATGATATAGATAGGATAAGTCACTTGATATTTTTTAAGATAAGATTTTTATTAAGAAATTGGTGATATTGAAGTATTAAACAGTTTATTCTTTTTTTAAATAGATAAACATTTGTTAAATTTATCAATGAACTAATAGGAAGATATACTTTATTGGAGTGAAATTTAAATACTTAAACTAGCAAAGTGCAAATGTACTTAATTTATATTCCCAAAAATAAATTTTTTGTTTTCTAAAAGTTATTTTCAAAGAATTTTAGGTCCTGAAGACAGGCCAACAAGGCTCAAAAAATGTTTAATTTATATACAGTCTTTCCTTGACTTATAATGGGGTTACATTTCAAAAAACATATTGTAAGTCAAAAATATCACAAGTTGAAAATAAATACATAAAATAGGCTATATGCAAGGTTATAGGCTATATGATCTTTCTTGAGACTTTTTTTAATGCATCAGTAGAGCAGCTTGAATTCAAATTCTGTTTTCTGCTTCACTTGCATTGGTCATCATATTTGCAAAACATCGTAAATCGAGGAGCATCTGAATACTAAATTTTTTCTTCCCTGTGGACATTAACGGGATCTTTTTCATGGATTTCTCCAGGCTCATAATGAAGTGCTGTTAATCTTTGTTATCCTGTGAATGTAATGAACGATGGAATCTGGCATTACTGGGCCAAACTGCCCACGAAAATTTCTGAAAATCCAATCCAAACTTGAATCCGTATCCCTCTCAAAACGAAAAACTTGTATTTGCTACCTCAACTATTTTGGTGTTTGGGTTTTAAATGCTTAAGACAGAATCTGAAAGATGGTATTGACTATGCGATGAACAAGTTATATGCTAGTTTTAAATTTCAGCTATGAATTCACACTTAAGGAACCGCTATTGCTCTGTAGGTTCCATCCATAAACACAATACAAAAACAAACATTTGATTTAAACTATTACTTATCTTGATATTCAATAGATTATTAGTCAACCGAGTGATTACATTCTGTAAAGGTTTATCATATAATCTCCTGAGATAAAATTTTTAATTTCTATTGTCTAATGAACTTAAAATGTAGTAAATAATGCATTAAGAATTATTTTAATGTTAACTAAAAATCTAACTATAATAAGTAAATAATTGTCAGTTAAATTAAATTAATAACTTATTTAATTTATCAGAATGGAATTTAATCAATGATTGAACAATAATTATAATGGTAAAAATATAACATCTAGCTCACTTTGAAGGGTAGCATTTATAAGTCTCGGAATGCTTAAGCAAAATAACTTTCGGGAGCTCAAAGTAAGTGATTTGTGAGGGTAAAATTGCTGTTTTGAATGAGGACAATATCTCTAATTGTGATCCTTGGTGAGATATTTACCTCAAATTTTCCTTCTTGTTAAACCTGCAATAGACTTAACACAGCATGTGACATGATTCTTAGTGCATTCCAGTAGTCAGTGCAATGGCACTTTTATGTTTTATGAGTCTTTAGCCTTCTCTAGTAAAGTAAAAATAGTTTATTTTTAGCATTGTTTTGAGAAATAGTTCTGTATTTCTTCATTTTTTAATTTTACCCCTTTCAAGGGTTTTCAAAATTCTCTTGTGAAGGATCACAAGTAGACAATCAATTTCTTTTCACTTTTATTACTCCTACAGGCATGGTCTACAGCTCTGATAAGGTCCCAACCATCTAATTCAGAGCTGCATTTGTACTGTTGTGAGTAACTTGTAATTTAGAGAATAGGAGCACATAATAATGCCTATTGATAATGAATTCATAACTGTGATTGTTACTTTTCAACTATGACACCATTTGATGCAGGGTCCAACAATGTGTGTGACTATGTATGTTGTCAAGTGTATAAGATAAAAAATCAATTGAAATTCATTCAGGAGTACTATACAAATGTCTGTTTTGCCTACGGAACGGTGTCATTAGGAATGGCTTAATAATCAATGATAAATGTTAGAAATAATAGTCTAGATATAAAGCAAAGAAGCTTTAAAAATATTATGTATTAATTAGGACCTGAAGTGAGAGATATTTTTATATCAACCTTGTATTTTTTACAATTATATATGTCAGGCTTTCAGCTAAGATAATACAATAAATTTTATGATTTTAATTACTTTAATTTAGTCTTTTTTGGTGTATTTTTCTGTATATTCTTGATTATATAATATAAATGGGGAAAGAGTAAATACAGATAATCAGTTTCCTAGTTAACTTGTCAACCATACAACATATATAAAACAAAAGTTCAAAATCTTTTAAAAAGTATTGAAGCAGAGACATACTTTATCCAGTTTAAAGTAGTGGTGCAGCTGTTATGAGCTTTTGTGAATCAACGTTTACCTGTAAAATCTCTTATTCTTTATTTTACTTTAAGATCTACATTCTCGTGTCTTACATATTTTCATATAGACATAATTTAATAACATCTAATGCAATTACAGGTAATTTAGAATTTAATGTTTTTACTTGAATCTACTATCAACTATTTCCTTTTTTCTTTTAACAAGTGTAAAGAACTAAATAAATTGTTATCTTAATAGTTGTAAAACTTCAAATAACGCTCTCCAATCGTGCAATACCATTGCCGAATTTAAAGTTAGTGGCGTATCAGAGCTGAATAACAAGCTTCCTGTAATGTTTGGCTGGTATAGCCATAAACCAAAATGTAAAACTCCAAAAATTGGATGTAATTACTAAAATAAATTTCAAAAAAACCTTAAATCTGGAAGACATTATTCGAAGTTTTATAGTACTCTTTATTGCCTTTTGCTTCCATCTATTATGCTCTATTATTTATCATGTATACAGGCTGAATCAGTCTTCAAACAAAACCTCAAAGATCATCTGAAGGAACATATTTTTGAAGTGTGTTCATCCGTAAAGGTGGCTCCGCACATTCGGTATTTTCCAATTGCCGAATAATTGCCTACTTGAACTCTGATTCGACACAATATATGGACAAGGAGTGGGAAACGGCAAATGCCGAATATTAATCGCAAGTAAATTGTCCACTCTGCTAAGTATCAGCTGAATGTTTGCTCAACATTTGGCAAATATCGAATGTATTAAGCCAATTCAATATGCATTAATGTATATTTTCTGTGAGTAGGAGGAGTGCACGCAGATGTGCATTCATATTTTGTGGCTTATAAATAGCTGTATAATACTCTTTTCCTAAGTATGAAGACTTTTGAATCATCATATATTATATTTTGTAATTACAGGAAATCCTTTTTTTTTATTATTGCATATTTTTAATAGGAAGTTAAAAAAACCTATTTATATCATTTTTAAAAAATTAATATTTAATATTTTCTCATTTTAGGTAGTGCACAGGAATCTGACTTTTTTTATGTACAGTACTGTATTTATAGACTTTGTTTTTTAAATGTAAATTGGCAAAAGGAAAAAAGTATATATATAATTTCAAAAAATGGCAGATTGCGAATCTATTATAAGTCCTTCCGATTCTCGTCACGTGTTGACTCTTCGTACAAAAATAACTTACAGTGTCGGCCATGTGTTTAATGATCTATGTGCATCTATGTGGTTCACGTATTTACTAGTTTATCAACACTTTGTGCTGGAATTTAGAAACAGTATTGCCGGGGATCTTCTTCTCATCGGACAGATAGCTGACGGTTTGGCAACGCCGTTTGTCGGGATCGAGTCCGACAAACCGGACCAGTTTTTTTGTAAATATGGAAGGAGGAAGACTTGGCATCTACTAGGTTAGTTGCTTCACATTACATCCTATTTCTGGCATTTGACCTATCTGTCATTATAATAAAGACCTATTAAATTTATATTTAAAAGATGTTATGTTGATAATTTTTAAGAGACTAATTCTTTGATTTTAAATAATAAATGTGTTTAAATATAAAATTTTGTTTATCATAACAAAAGTAGTAAAGAAATGCTTAACTTTCAGGTACCATTTGTGTGTTGTTGAGCTTTCCGTTTTTGTTTTTGAAGTGTGTCGGCTGTTCCCATTCCCACCAAAGTGCACAGTTTGTATATTATGCAGCGTTTATCATCATCTTTCAGTTCGGATGGGCCGCAGTTCAAGTGTCACATTTGTCATTAATTCCTGACCTAACACCGATATCGTCGGAGAGAGTTGCACTCAATTCTTACAGGTAGAGATTGAATAATTGAGTTTATAATATATTTTAAGTATGTATTTAATAAAATGTGGATTAAATATTGCATGATTTTTTATATTTTTTTAAATTTCCTATTGGCTGAAATGAGAAAAATTTAAGATAAAAATTTTTTTTTTTACAATCTTGTCCTATCTTTCTGGTCCAGTAGTTTTAATGAATTCAAGACAGCTCATTACGTGCACTCAAATTGTTCTTTTTATAAAGATATAATGCTCATAGTTTAATAAAACTATGTCAGCCTTTCATTTTAATTTCTGTAATGACCTTATAACCCAAAAACTAAATGGCTTTCTATGATTAAATAGCACTCAAAAGCTAATGATAAAGTTGCTTCTAACAATTACATATGTGAAAAGGCAATGGTTATGAATTGCATGAGTTTTATTCTTTATAATAATATAAAATTGATTTTATATTATTATAAAGGGTATTCCCCTCAAACGTCCCTAATTTGATTTTGGGAAAAGAAACTTCATTATATTAGTGTAGACAATGGTAATAGAAGATGAATCTGAAAATGTTAGTTACTATATTAAATCAGTACATTTCACATATACTCCTGAGGATATATGGTTTGTATTAGATTTTGGCTAACGTCTGAGCCAACATGTTAGGTGTTACACTGTTAATAGCATCCACAATTCTTATACACTGGGCTCTTGTATCTGACACTTTTGTAGCATACATGCAATCCTTGATATACTCACAAAGAAAAAAGTTTAAAGAGATGGTGTTAAGTGATTGGGTTGATCAAGAAATGGGGTCTTAGTTATCTAGATCATGTGGTAGTGAATGTCCAGATCATCACCTTGCAACAGCAGTGACCCTTTCAAGCATATGCACATGAAACTTGGAGTATCGATCAATATTTTCCAACACATTTTATCTACATATCTGAACAAATGGATAGTGCAGAACAGTTTAAATGTAGGGGTGTTCAAGGGGAATGCCCTGTATATGATTTTATTTCATATACACACAAATATCACATCACATTTTTATAATTTTGTGAAATAAATATTAATTTAACAGTAAAGGTTCAATAAGCATCTTCATAAGGATTTGTTATAATTCTTAAGATTAGTTTCCTCTTCCATTATTTTTATTCAAAATTTTATGTAAGTTAAATTGAATTATTTAGTGTAGTATCAAGGAAAGATATTATATACAGAGTTAATTAATTCTAATTATTCTGCCTCTAGGCTAAACAACATGATGATACTACATACAAGTAGACTAAATTGATAATTAATTGATTAAATTTCTAGATGAAAAAACAAAATCCAACAGTGTTAACTGCTTGTTAAAATTTTCTGTTTTAATTTGAAGTGTTTTATTTTATTAATTTACTGCAATTATTAAATTAAAAAAGTTGAAAAGTTAACTGTAAAGATGCATATTCTTTTTTTCAATTATAAATGAATATGCATCTTTCATAACAGATTTGAATCTTATTATTTATTTTATTGGAAAATCTTTATATTTAATCAATATTCATTTCTACTTGTATTAAATTTTTAAATGAAGCTTCACATTAAATTATATGACTTTATAAAATCCCTTTTTCTCATTCATACTACTAAAATTATAGCTAAATAGTGATTTTAATCTTGAATAGTGTAGTTTTGTCATTAGTTTATTCGTTATTACTTTGATTTGGCAGCAAGATATTATCTATTTTAATCCTATTACTATCTTGTCACTACTTTAAACACTGAAGGTCGAGCTATACAAAAAGTCCTCAATTTATTGATTGGATTAATGTATTTAATGAAATTTAAATCATAACAGATACAGAATTTCCTTTGTCACAAAGCTATGAAACTTAGTAAACTGACACAAACTTTTCAATGGCATATACAATAAATTCAGTTTATCTTGTGACTAAGCCACTTCTACTATCTAATGTTTCAGCTCTAATGTCAGTAACTTGCATATACCCTGTACTTTATGTATCCTCACAAATATATCCAATGGTGCTACGAGGGCTGTTCGGAAAGTTCGCGGCCTCATATAGAAAAACAAACAAAATAATGTTAAAACTTTTTTATTTTTCAATGTAATCTCCTCTGTTAGCAATGCACTTATTCCAGCGATGTTCTAGCTTTTTTATGCCATCACAATAGGTCGATTTGTCAAGGTGTGCAAAATACTCGTTAACTTTAGAGATGACTTCGTCATTTCAGTGGAATCTCTTTCCAGCCAAGAATTTTTTTAAGTTTGGAAAAGGGTGGAAGTCACTGGGGGCAAAATCAGGTGAGTATGGTGGATGTGTAACTAATTGGAAGCGAAGTTCGTTTATCTTTTGTTTAGTGATTCTGGCGGAATGTGCAGGTGCATTATCGTGGTGGAACAGAACCTTTTTGTTTTTCAAGTGTGGCCTCTTTTCTTCGATTTCTTTCTTCAGTTTTTCCAAAAGTTCACAGTAATAGACAGCATTGATGGTCTTTCCTCTTTCTAGGTAGTCAATAAAGATGATGCCTTTAGCATCCCAAAAAACCGAGGTCATCACTTTCCCCGCTGATGGAACTGTCTTTGCCTTCTTTGGTGGTGGCGAACTGTGGTGTTTCCATTGCTTCAACTGTTCTTTTGTTTTAGGAGTGTAGTAATGGATCCACGTTTCGTCAGTAATCACAAACCGACGCAAGAAATCCTGTGGGTTTTTCTGGTAGAAGTCCAAACACTCCTTTGACATCAAAGTGCGAACACGTTTTTGCTCGGCGGTCAGCAGATGCGGCACCCACCTTGCTGAGACCTTCGTCATACCCAAATCTTCGGTTAGGATGTGGTGCACTCGGTCGACAGAGATGCCTGTTGTCTCAGCTATCTCACGCGTTTTCAAACGGCGATCTGCTAATACCAAATCGTGAACTTTGTCGATGTTTTCTTCAGTGACAGCAGTTGACGGCCGTCCGCTGCGAGGGTCATCTTCCACACTTTCTCTGCCAGATTTAAAAAGGGCTGTCCATTTTTTCACAGTGGTGTACGAAGGAGCAGACTCTCCTAAAACTTCATCCATGTCAGCTTTGATTTGAGATGGGGTCAACCCTTTTTTCGTCAGGTATTTTATGACCGCACGAGTCTCCGTCTTCTCCATTTTTGACAAAGCAGGTGCACACTTACTATCTGCTAAGCTGTCATGGCAAAACTTTTTGACAAATCAAGCGGAAATTGGTATCGTATCTTTAGCAAAGATGGCTGAATTATTCCCGCCAAAAATTAAATTGATCGCAGCGCCGCATATAGGCAAGGCCGCGAACTTTCCGAACAGCCCTCGTAGATCTGGGGAGAAAAGAGGTTATGATAGATGCTAGACAGGTGAGTGAATGCAGTGATCTTTTAGTGTTGCACTTGCTTGAGCATTGTTTGTGTAGTTGCCAACTCTGGTTTACAGTAGTATGTAATTTCCCACTTACCAAAAGGTTGTAACCTTAAAGTCGAAATTTTGGTGCATAAATTGGCATTTGGGTATTCAATCATTCGTAATCGGATGATCAAATTTCCAAACGCTAATCTCCACAAATGTCAAGGGTGTGGCATATAGTTAATTTTATTTGATACTTATAATATTACGATGTTAATTTTAAAGTTTGTTTTTTCATTCTCAAATTAATAAAATATATTTATTGCTGACTATTAAAATGAATTGTACTGATTTTAAATTAATTTCAATCTTGCAGTAAGTTTTACTAATTAAAGGTAAGATCAAAATTATTATGCAGAATATTTTAAATTATTGCATAATTTTTTTATTAATTTTAAGCTATTAAAATTTAGGTATGGTTATTAATCATTATTAATTAATATTTATTCAGTTTAATTAATCAATGTATTTTTCAAACATTTTTAAATTGCATTAGGTTATTATTTTGAGTGTTATTTTTTATTTCTTTTTTTTTCCCAAGACATTACGAACTAAATTATAATGCTCTGTTATGGCTGCTTAATTTATTAATAATTTGTTAGCCATAATTAAAATCTGGCAGTTAATTTGAATAATTGAATTAATTATCAGGTTGTTTGCAACTGTTATTACTTAATTATAAGGATTATATATTTTAAAACCACCAGTGGCCGAGCAGATGAAACCAACATACGCTGGTAGTTGGTTGTGGGTTCGCTCCTCACTAACGTGCTGGCCACGTGGGGTTTTCCAGGTTTTCTTCACATTAGTAACACTTAAATAGGAGCCAGTTTACCATAAAAGACCATCCGGGAGGCATTCCCTTGGCAGATCGCCCACGTGCTGTAACCGAATAATACATTTTTAAATTTTTGTTATATCAATACATAAAGTTTTCTTAATGCAGTAGCCAAATAATAATTTGCGTTTATGAAATTTAACAAAATAGCAAGCAAATTAGACAATATAAAATGATTTAATAGTTTTCCTTTAATTAGTACAACTACATTGTATAAAGTTTTAAAGGGAAGAAATTTAATATACATATAAAATAATTTTATTACGCATTATACTTTTATGCTCTGCACATTTACCCTTTCATACATTTATTTCGTAATTTTAAAGAGACTATACGTTCACCATCTGCCGATGTCACTTGACTGTGACTCATTATTTACATCACAATGCATATGACTTTTATTGTTTCCACCTGATGTACTTTTTTAATCAGTTAATTTCTGTTTTAGGATCGAAATTTCAAATAGCCGTATTTTGATAATGAGGAATTTAATCAAGGATTTGGACAAACGATAGTCTGATGAATAAAAAGAAACACTAAAATATTAGCTGCAACTGGTTAGTCATTTTTAAAAAACGGCATTAACTGCCAATTTTTTAATTGTAGGTCTTGATTAGAGGAACTAAAGAAAAAAGTTTAATATGCTTTTGCTGTAAAATCAACATTATTAACAGGAATATTACACTTTTTTGTGATGTAAAGGCACTTTTAAGAACACTAAAATTTGGGGTGTTTACAGCCCCTTCTGTAATCACGTGAGAAACATCACTGCTTGAGACAAAAATGACTCCGGTTCAAATTAACTGCATTAGCTTTTATTACTTTCCTTCTTTTGCTTCTGTTGCTTTGTTTTCTTTGCTTATTTATGTATCTATAGAGGAAAAAGAATTAACGTAGAGGTGTGACACACAGGGTAAGTAAGGTAAAGTAATATAGACTATTTGAATTGGTCATTTCTGTGTCAAATGAGGATACTTCTCACATGACTATGGAAGTGGCTGAAAAATCCCCACATTTCAGTGTTCTTAAAGTGTCTTTACATCACAAAAAAGTAATATGCTAATTAAACTATTGATTTTACAACAAACATGAAGTAGACTTTTTTTTTTTTTGGTTTATCTAATCAAGAAGTATAAATTAAAAAAACTAATTTGATTGGGAGAATTTGAAATTTAATTACATTTTAAAAAACTGGCCAGTTGCAGCTATTATTCTAGCATTTCCTTATCATTCATCGGGCCCTATCACTTGAACCCAGTTCCATCCAAATCACTGAGTTTAACTATTCATGATTTTTTCCCCTTGGAAGTTTTTAAACTTAAGAAATTATTTTAAAATTTTGTTTTTATTCTTGTGGAAACTTTTGGACTGCAATTTGAAAAAATTGTAGGCATAAATTTCCATTGCCTGTGTGTCTGTCTTTTTTTAATCTTGAGAATGTAGTTAGTTAGACGAAATCCAAGGTAATATATGGAAAGATCAGGGTAGGATTTAACTGATTTAACTATATACGAACTTCTTATGCATACCGGAAGTCACATTATTTCATTAAAAACTTCCCCCTGAATGGAGTTAGGTAGATGATTGGCATGAGTCTATTGATAACAGGAACAAGACACTACCAATTTGAGGTGGAGAGCATATATTTTAAGTTAAATAAATTTAGTAAGACACCAACCGAATGCCGTAAATTAATCGGGCTATTTACGGCATTCGGTTGAAATAAATTACGTAATTAATTTGGCACTAGAGGTAAGCNGTCAGCTTGTTTAGTTTCTTGTTCTAATACATTCTATATTATATTTCATTTCAGGTACGCATGCACAGTATCATCAAATATTTTAATATATTTAATCACTTGGTTGATGCTAGGCTTAAATTCAGAGGGAAAAAATAGTCTTATTAGTCCCAAAGATTCTCCAGAATTTTGGGTAAGGATTACAGTTCTTAAAACTTAATTTTGTTTTTTTTTTCAGGAAATATAAAAAATTAGTCCAGTGGCAACTGTTTATTCTTGTAAATGCGTTTCAAATGTCCTAAAGCAGTGATTCTCAACCACTGTGTCACGGCACTTTAGTATGCCGCGAGATTTTTGAAGTGTGCCGCCACTACGAATATCCGTATATAAGCAATGTAAGACAAGTAGTTTAATTGGTTCTACCTTCCTAGAGTGCATTTGGAAATTGTAACCAGTAATTGTCGGTAGTTACCAAGGGGTTTAGAAAATGTGACCTAAATAACCAACTGCATTTAAAAATCACTGTTATGATGTCACTGGTTGCCCTGCGGTACTTACCGAAGTAACTGTATGTGTCGCCAAATTTTTAAATTATTAAAAGTGTACCATGATGTTAGGTTGAGAATCACTGTTCTAAACACTTATAAAAGAATAAACTTGTTGAATAAACAAGAATGGACAACCAAAATTATCTTATGTTGATTGTGTCATATTCTATATAATGTAAACGTAAATCACAGTATATATAATATAAATATTTAGTGCTGGTTATCCAGAAATGTTTTAATAATGATAGTACACACAGAAATATTACTGTTTCAACAAGACTTTTATCTATCTATCTATCTATAAGACACTTATATACAGGGTCTTCCAAAATGAATGCTACATTTTAAATTACTGTAATTATGTTAATTATTATCTGAAGTATGCAATGTACACTGTTTAATAGATTAAATGTCAAAGTTTCATCTCCTGTCGGCATTCAAACATCTTGCTGTCTACTACCTCTGGGAAGCATCATAAATGAAAATGATGACTCTGCAATAGAAAAGGTGTTTTGTGTTCTGCAGTTCAGAAAGTCGGAATAACTCATCAGTGTACAATGTGAGTAATCTGCAGTAACTGTAGGATTGTGATTGCTGTGGAGTGATGACTGATATCCTGTAGCAAGTGTAGGAAGGATCTGCATATCTGTTGGATGTGTGCTATATGACACAAGGCCACACACATTGAGAAATTGTAATGGGCAAATGTGAAACTTTGGCAGTTTTTCAATGTTTTAATGCATGTTACAATGTTCTTGGATAATAATTAACATAATTACAATAATTTAAAATATCTCCTCCTCAGAAGTTCTGTATATAAACAAGAAGAAAATTAACATATTGATTATAAACTAATTACAACTGTTTTATTTTTAGTAGATTGGTTCATTATAAGTTTGCAATAGCTAATTGCATATTTCTCTTGGAATTATATAAATTTTGATATTTGTGTGTACTTCATGAACACTGAATTTTATGCTAGTTCTAACTCCCTTGACTGGAAGGGTTATCAATCAATCATTAGTACTTTCTCCATTTATTAATTAAAGTGTATTAGAAACTGTAAAAGCAATGAGATTATTAGATTTAATTGTGTTTCTCAATATATTAATATGCAAACATAACATTTTATTGATTTATCTTAATAGTAGTTTAAATTTTATTGTGTTTGCATAGAAATGACAATAAATCTTATCAGCAAGCTTTTTTTTTATTTTCTGTAATAAAAAAATTGTTTTCTAATTAAAATATCTTAATATTTCTGTAAATTGTTGTCAAATTCAGAATTGAATGAATATTTTGGTTGAATATTGGATCTAGTCTGGACCAGGGTTTGCCAGCCTTCTTCTGCGAAGAACCTCGTGAACCATCAAAGACAAGTCTGAGACTAGTACAAAAGATAGAGTCAAGGTGTAGTGTGTAGATTACATATTCGTCTTGCATGCTTTTACTGCCCTTAGCAACCAGATTGTGTAAAAACATTGGTGGAGTAGATACACAATTAATTGATTTCCATTTATAAAGTAGAAAAGTATTTTTATTATTACAAAAAGAAAGCTATGAAGTGTCAAAAATCCAGACTAATTGGGACCAGATTTTCAAATATACATGTAAAGTAGCACTAAGTATTATTAACTCCAAATACACTGTAATTCAAGTTTTTAAATGTTTTAAGTTAAAGCCAGTATTTAACAAGGAATGTAGGAATACTTACAAAAATTCAGAATATAGTTTACAAAATCATTACATTTAAACAAAAAATACACTAATTTTAATTTAAATAAATAATATAATGCTACTAGGCATAGTCTAATCTCTCTTTGATCACAAACTAAGAATTGAATTAAAGCGCTAACAAGTCAATAATAATGTTTCGGGGAAGGCCGTCTACAATGATCGTTTACTGATACTGTGGCAGTGATATCGTTTCTGGCATAAAAATAATTCTATAAAATTATCTACTCGTGCTATAAACTTTGAACTTAGTCACTTTGATATCACTGTATCTCAAATGAAATTATGGATCCTTATTTTTATTACATTTTTCAACCAATTAAATTTTGAGAATGAAGTCTATTCTATAAGCAACATAGAAAATGTTTTGATGTGTATTGAACCTACTATCATTTCTGGATATTTATTATCAGAATATAATAAAACTAAAATTTTATTGAAAATATCTGCATAACAAGACACTTTTATAAATATTTTTGTATGTGGCTTTGTTAGGAATAGGGTAAATAATTTCACTCAGTAGCAAAACTCTAATATTTCAAATATTTTTGTATTTGTCACTTAATAAGCAGGATGGTCAAACAGTTATGTTGTGGAGAAGCCAGGATCAAATGCGGATGTGTCAGAAACCCCGTGAATTTTTCAGGAGGTGGTCCATCCAACACGTCGGGCTCCACCCCATTGTGGGCCTTGCCAAATCCATAATGGGCATGCTAACAAGGCCCTCTCAGTGTCCAGGGCAGATGGTTAAAAAAAAAAAATATATATATATATGGGGGTGCTATATATATATATATATAGCACCACCTCTGGACAAATTTTTGTTAGGACAAAAACAAAAAAACAGTCAATAGAAGACAGAGTCACTATGTAATCTATATACCATGGTCAAAGATAAAGATTATTTTTATTTCCGAATAACATTAGACACAAATCAGTGTGAAATTGAAACTGCTTTTTTAAAAAAATATCATCAAAATAGGAAATAAATTTTGTTGCATCCAATGTTAAAGTTTCCTTACACCTTTGTTGAATAGTAAAGTTTGATATTTTGATTTTGTATACGGTAAGCCTTTGTTTTAATGAACTCCAATTTAACTGACTAAATTTGTTCTTTATGGTAAGAGTTGCGTTATTTTCCAATCTTTTCTTCCCATCTGGCTCTATGGATTTATATTCGTTAACATTAAAAATTAGTTACAAAAAAAAATAGTTTATGATGACCTACATTTTGTGTGTAATAATTTACTACACTTCAACAATAGATAAAGTAATTTGTTTCCGTTTATTCGATGTTCTCCATGTTAGCTCAATGACAATGTTGTACTTTGTTTTGATATAAAATTCATATATATTGACCTATTTTATCAGGAGCTATTCTACTTTATATCGGAGAGTTCATGTGTATGTTTTTCACGCTATTTTGTGATTTCACATGTCTAAGATTAACCAAAACTGTAATTATCATCATAATTGTGTTTAAGAAAATCAGTTCATTATAAAAAATAGTTTTGATATACATCATGATGAATTTTCTATATATATCTTACACACAGCAACATTTAAAATGGGCAAATTCTCTGGGTTTGCTTAGCATACACTGCATACTTAAGAGAAAGTTTTGACTGTCGATATACTTTTTATATGAGAACAAATATGCCAATAATAATATATTTGAACATGTAAACTTTTTTATCATTTGTGTTTGCTTTTACATTTACAGTTAGCACTAGCTGTTTTAAGTCAGTGCAATGCTTACAGGAATTTGATCGCTTGCTGGTGTGGAGGTTTGCCCAGCAAACAAGAGCATGCGCATGATGTCATTCAAAGCATTTAACATGACCAGATTGTATCGAAAGCTTGCTGTACCCAGTTGTCGTACATGTATTGTGTACAGTACTTCAAATCTAAGTTGTGAATTATTGAGAGTTATGTAAGTTTAGGGGCAGATCTACATAGGGACTAATAGGGCTTAAGTCTTGGCCCTCCTAGTGTCAAGGGTCCACAAAGAATGAATTATCATCATAAATTTTTAATACTTTTTCTGATAAAGGTTGTCATTCAATGCCATTTTATAAATAAATATGTTTCAACTCTGATTTTGATGTTATTAAAAATGAATTTTAAACCCCAATTTAAAGATTCTTAATCTAACAAAAAAAATGGTGCCCCATTGGACTTCAATAAGCCCTAGACCCCGAAAACCTAGATCTACCCCTGCGTATGTTGTCACCATATGAGGCTAGTTATTAAATGAATTACGTAACCAGTTTGGCTCTAGAGGTAAGCGTTANAATTTGGCACTAGAGGTAAGCGTTAGGCGCCATCTCTTATTAATATTAATAATTATAAATAAATTAATTAATTTAAATAATTTAGAACCGCTGGGAGAAAAAATCGGCCCGGAGCGGGACTCGAACCCACAACTCCTGCTTACCGTGCAGATGCGTTGCCAGTTACGCTGTCCGGACCTCCAGTCGATAACTGTCTATGGCTACATAGTTAGCTTCTATACGCTGGAAGAGGAGATCGGACTGGAGGTCCGGATAGCGTAACTGGCAACGCATCTGCACGGTAAGCAGGAGTTGTGGGTTCGAGTCCCGCTCCGGGCCTATTTTTTCTCCCAGCGGTTCTAAATTATTTAAATTAATTAATTTATTTATAATTATTAATGCTAATAAGAGATGGCGCCTAACGCTTACCTCTAGAGCCAAATTGGTTACGTAATTCATTTAATAACTAGCCTTATACTAGCCTGTCAAGCCAAATAACATTTCTGCCTATTGTTTAGTGCTAGAGACAGGCCTGGTAATACTATTAGAATTTTCAGCTTTCCCAAAAATTTTGGTCAGGATTTCTCTTTGATTTGAAATAATACAAGCAATATATTAAGTCAAAATTACTGAATGCTCAACAGAACACTACTTAAACAGTGTTTTTATGCCTGGAAAAGTTAAATATATACAGATAAACACTGCCATCTAGCTAAAAATATGTGAAACATGGTCTAAAGAAATAAATACAGTAGAGTGCTGCCATCTAATATAGAAATTTTTAATTAAAATTAAACAAATTTAAAAATAATGATTTAATGTCAAGTGGCGATTTTCACAAAACACTTAATATTTCATCACTTAAGTGGGTAGGAAAAGGCTAACCTCTTCTCCTTTAATTATACGCACAATAGGTTGTATATATCCCCTGAAAAATTCTGCAAATATTTTCCAATAGTGTATTCACTTGACTAGTCAATAGTCTTGTGATAACAAATCATATACCACTAATACTACTAATAAACAGTTTGCGTAGACATTGCCTCCACTTTCTCCCTCCCTGTCGTGTATAATAATCTATTTTTCATGAACACCTCTTTCCCTTTAACCTGTCTGCATGATTAATGGATAGCTCCTGCAATACAAACAACTAATGGAAAAACAATGATATAAATTAAAATTTATACATACATAAATAATATCAAGGTCAATAAGATCTTGATATGAAAGTTTTATTTATGTATAACAAAGGGAAAATATTATTTCTGAGGAGGAAAAAAAACATGTTTTTCGGAATATTTATAGACAAATTTGACTATTCACAATCTCCGATGCAGTGCCGGCCCGAGGCAAATTTTAGGATGGAGCGAGATCCTATTATGGCACCCATGGGTGGAACCTCGCCCACGCACTCGAACTACGAGCATCTCAACAGATAAGGCCATTCACATACTGGCCACACGCTTGCAATTAAAATATTGAAAAGTGAAAAAATATATTTTTTTTCTTTAATTTTTTTTACCACTGAGGCGCCCCTAGGACTTAGCGCCTAGAGCGGCTGCTTCGTTCACCCTATGGTAGGGCCGGCTCTGCTCCGATGCTTCGTATTAAGTCACATTGCGGACGTGATGGATTGGCATTTATATTATTAATATTGCCGTAGTCATTTAAGTGAAATTTTACATAATATTAAGGGAAAATTTTTATTATTATTACAAAAAATAAATTTTTAGATTATTAGTGTTATAAGTAATTTTTAATAATCTATTTTTACATTGGTTTACTATTAATATTAAACCTACTTCTGTAATTATTTCTAGCATATTGCACTTATTGTTGTTTCTGTTGGTACACTGTTCAGTATTATCTTTCATCTTGGTGTAAGAGAACCACCGCACGTAACTGCTTCTATCCAGAATGGAAGTATCAATTCAGAGATATTTTTGGAGCCACATCTTACTTGGAGAGATTGGTTAAAAGAAATTCAGTTTTATAAGGTAATAAGGGATGTATAAAGTATTTTAATTACGTAATAATCATAATAATAATAATGTTTTTAAAATTAAAACATTAATGAGAATATTTTCATCAGATTGGTTTGTTGTATATGTCTACTCGTTTATACAATAATTTATCTCAAGCATATATTCCATTATATCTTCAAGACAGTCTACAATTGCCAAGGGTAAGAAATTGAAGCTCCTTATTTGTATATTTGTAATGTTAAAACTTGTATAATTTTAATATTTAAAACTTAAATCTAATTTCTTTTTTGTTTTTTAAAGGAAAGTATAGCCATAATCCCATTAGTAGTTTATGTAAGTGGCTTTGTTTCATCCTTCTTCATGAAGTATCTTAGTTCAAAAATTGGCAAAAAGGTACAGTTAAAATGTAAAACAATACAATTTTTCTTCTTCCTTTTTGTTGTTAATTTATATAAACATGTTTTCACTATCAATAGTAATTAGTTTGGGTCAAAAATCCAAAAATTGTTTGTGAGGGTGGTTCGTCTGATATGTTGGGCCATATCCTTCATTGCTAGGCCATCCCATCGTGTGCCTGGCCGAGCTCGTAACGAGCTTGTTAAAAAAATGGCCATAGGTCAGAGTTAAAAAAAAGCAAAGAAAAGATAATTACAATATAGATTCTTCCAACTCCATAAACAATTTTAATTGTGATAATCTGTAAGGAAACTTGCCCTTTTTCCTTTTTATGCTTCGAACGAACTGTCTCGGCATCGAATCTCTATTTTATTCTAATCAAACATACTAAAGCAGTCATACAAAATTATTTGTTCCATCAGATGATTTTAAATTTGCATTCTAAAGCAATATTTTAAAGTTTGTTTCAAGTAGTTGTATAAATTTAAAATTATGCTTTGATTAGATTGTCTTTAGAAATGAACTCGATACAAAAGTCACTCAGATTTCCTCAAAGACGTAATATTGGATGTAATAACAGATGACTAAAAAATGTTATATTGGGTGTATAAATACAATATTGCCCTTTTTAATAGGCAGCGTTAGTAGTACTGCTAGCATGCAGATGAATCTGACAACACTTTTATTTGAATGGTTTGACAGCATGCTTTAAAAATGTGTGTGTGACATCTGTTTAAAGTATAAACAAGAATTAAAAATATCGAGTTTAGTGTAAAAAAAAAAAAGAAAAAAACAGCATTTGCAGGAAGTTTTACTTCTTTATTTTATTGCAAAGAAAATGCAGTGGAAATGTATTAAAAATAATACCTCATCAAACCTTTAACCGGTATTAAATTTGATTAAGATTAGATGCAAACGTTTTCGGATCCTTCCCTGGGTCCTTTCTCAAGCACAGATCATATCCACGGGAATGATATTAAAACATCATTCCCGTGGATATGATCTTTTATTTTTATTTTTCGTTAATGTAACACATCCATTAAAACCATTTTAAGAATACCGAGCATTACGTAACAAATGTTGTTTACGGAATACTGGAATGCACGTGATGCACGTTAGTTTGACTTTTGAAATGTTGTTCTGAAGGATTTATATTTTTTCGAATGTCGCATTCAAAAGAAGTTCGTTCTACTGGTCTTTTTAACAAATTTTAAAGAAGAATCTGTGCTTGAGAAAGGACCCAGGGAAGGATCTGAAAATGTTTGCATCTAATCTTAATCAAATCTAATACCGGTTAAAGGTTTGATGAGGTATTATTTTTATATTAATCTGGTGTTTGAAGATTTTTATTTATAGGAAATGTATTATTTGCTGTTGGAGATTTACAGTGAATGTGCTCCATCGAATACTACTTGCAAAGAGTGGTTTTGACGATTCAAAAATAATGATTTTGATACACATGACATAAGACAAAGAGCACAGAAAACCACCAAAAAATTTCAATATGAAGAATTGAAAGCATTACTGGATGAAGATCCTTTCCAAACACAATTGGAATTAGTTACAGCATTAAATGTTACCCAACCGTGCATTTCCCAATGTCTACGTGCAATGGGAATGGTTCAAAAGCAAGGAAACTGGGTCCCATATGAATTGAAATAAAGCATCATTGAATGTTGAAAAACCATATGTGAATTATTGCTTCAAAGACAAAAAAGAAAAGGTTTTTTTTTTTTTATACCTAATTGTTACTGGAGATAAAAAATGGATTCACTCTGGCAATTGTAAACGACCAAAGCCATGGGTGAATTCATATAAACTGGGTCCACGAATGCCAAAACAGAATATTCATGGAAGTAAGGTTATGTTATGTATCTGGTGGGACCAAAAGAGCATAGTATGCTATGTGTTGTGCAACTGAGTCAGATAATCAATGCTGAACATTACAAACAATAGTTAATCAAATTGAACAAAGCATTGAAGCAAAAACATCCATAATATGCCAAAATATACAATGTTATTTTCCAACATGACAATGCTCACCCAGAGAACTCTAGAAGCACTTTGCTGGGATGTATTGCCCCACCCACTGTAATCACCAAATGTTGCTCCTTCAGATTACCATTTGTTTCAATCCATGCAGAGTGACCTTTCTGGAAAGTAGTTCAGTTCTTACGAGGATATCAAAATTTTGGTTGATGACTGGATTGTTTCAAAACAACCAGACTTCTTCCTTCACAGAATCCACTTGATGGGCGAATGTCATAGCTTCTAATGGAAAATACTTTGAATAAATCTTTCTTTTAGTTTAAAAACAAATAAATGTCTTTTATTTACTCAGAAAAGGGCAGTGTCATATTTATACACCCAATACCTTAAAATTAATAATTCTAAAGAATTTTAAGATAAAAGTAAATCAAACTTCAGTGTATATAACAGTTCTTATATTATGTACTTAAGGCTAATTGTTGTAACTCTATGCAATATTATCTTTGTAAGTGACTTTACTAATTTAATATTTTTTAAGATAAAAGTCTGTTTAAAAGCAATGCAATATTCTTTAAATTTTTATTGGTTTTTTTTATTTTTATTAATATTTATATAAGTAGACTATAATTAATAGTTTAATGATACAATGACTTTAATAACTAAGTTTTTTATTTAGCTTTACTACAGATTTTTCTTTATATAAATTTAAAAATGATGATATTTTTATAATATCTGTTCATTTTTTCAGGCGACTTATTTTCTCGGCTGCATACTTGCATTGATTGCATGTGTTTGGTTATATTTTGGTGAAGGAGACGACTTTCGTTATGGAGAAATTTTCGGTGTTTCTTCACTCATAGGCATTGCTGGATGTACAATGTTGATATTAAGTCTGTCAATAACTTCAGATATGATTGGTGTTAACACTGTAAGTTTTTACATTCTTTGACATTTATTGGATCTAATTAAGTAAAAATTTGTTTTTAAAAAAAATCACTTATTAATATTTATTTTTCTCTACATAATTTTTCAATTAAGATTATCTTTCGTCTCAAAGTAGACAAATCATAATACTGCCCTACAAAGACGATTACAAATACAAACAAATATCATTAGATGACAAGTAGCATGCTGACAGACTACACTAAAAGCAACACAGCAGACCAAACTAAATGAGAAATTAGGAAAATTGAAAGATAGTCTTGTTTACTCATAATACAACATACGCGCAAAAGAATACATTGGCTACCTCAAAGGTTTTATTATCTTTTTCTGAAACCATACTTTCTCTTATTTGTTATTCTTTACCACACAACTAGGTGCACAGGTAGACAGTAGACTTTTTTTTTAAGATATTCTGCAATATCTTAGATGCTAATGTGTGTTTTGGGCATATGCTCTGAAATGTGTATCAAATAAAAATTATCACATAAGAATAAAAAATTTTTAGCCAAATCACAAAGATTGAAACAAAACAAAAAAGAAATCTGTATGTTGCAAAAACAACAAAATAAATTATTTACACACAATGAGATACTTTTCTGCAGACAACTATATTTACTGCACAATGGTATCGTATACTATCAGAAAAAGAACTTAGACTATTAATCTGCACTTCATTCCAGTCAAGATAATGATAAGGTTGGTCTATATTGCATTGAATCTCTGTTCAATATTTAGAAAAATGTTTAGCCCCCGTCACCCAACTGGATCATGCACAATATGCACAATACACCCGTCATGCTCTGTGTCTGTGTTCTTCATGTGTTTCAAAATAACAATCTAATACAAAAAATTTACATTGCTGTGGTCTAGTCAAATATTTTATTTACATAATCTACATGCCAAAATTTCTTACATGGTCATCACAAGCATGAAACCCAAAAATACTACTACCAAAGATCCTACACAATACAAGCCAATCACATGCCTTTCTATACTTGGATAAATACTCACTTTACACATCACAAATAAAATGTATCAACAAATAGACAACATAGCCTTTTTTTATTGTTTTGTGAGAATGTTGTCATAGAAACTGTGTGGTGTGCAAAGAAGTTACTCAGACAGTAACTTTATGACAAGCACACAAACATACATATATTATAGGAAAGCGTTTTTCAGCATCTCCCTCTCTTGGTTAGAGCATACAAAATACATCTAACATTCTTTACGTTTTTAGAAAACAATTCAACACTGGAGAACAACAATTCAGACCAAATCCAGCCAACTATTCTAACAAGTACACAACACATTATAGAAAACAACACACACAAAATAACTATGACCAAGCCAAAATTGCAGACGAAACAATCCATCAGAATAAACCATACATTACATTTATTGACTGACATACATAAGAGATATGGTTGTACCAAGCACTCACAATACAGGCATACCTCGACTTACGTCGTTTCGAGTTACGTCGTTCCCGATTATACGTCGCTTGTTAAAAAAGTATATGGAAAAATAAAAATCAAGTTTAAGTCATTTTATTCGACTTTACGTCTGTCCGCCACAAATATTGAAGTCGTAATATCACTAGATAAACGTTTAAAGCACATAAAATCATATTAAAATATATACAAGTATGTACTGTATTTACAGTACACGCATTCGTAAATTTAGATTATTTTTTTTGTACTATATTAAAAACTAAAATTTATTTGTTTGTAAGCTTAAAATAGATTTTTATTAAGCATATATTATTTAAAATGCTTTCCTAGTGATAAGTAGATTCGGAGACAGGTAAATTCGACTTACGTCGTTTTCCTGGAACCAATTACCGACGTAAGGCGAGGTATACCTGTATACAAAATATGTACACCTGAAAAAAATTAGCAAATATTCAGAACTTTCCCTTGAAATAAAGTATTTGTGGAAAATTGACTAGACTTGTGTAAAAACATTAATGCTTCAGAATAGCATATACTGTATACAGGGGCAGATATACATAGGAACTAATAGGGTTAAGCCCCGGGTCCCCAAGTGTCAAGGGCCCACAAAAATTGAATTATTTTCGTTAATAATAATTCTTTATTCTTTAATTTATATATATATAAGATATAAAGTTTGTAATTCAACACCATTTTATGAATAAATGTATTTCAATTCTGATTTTTATGTTGTTGAAAATAAATTTTAAACCCCAATTTAAAGATTCTTAATCTAACAAAAAAAATGGGGCCCCATTGGATGTCAATAAGCCCTAGACCCCGAACAACCTAGATCCACCTAACTGTGTATCACATTATGGAAAACTGTCATACCATATGCAAATAGTATGCAAACATATTAATTGCTTGTTCTGTAGTCCTGCCTTGACCCTAATATGGCACTAGTTAGGTGTGTGTGTGTGTCATGTAGGATACACTCTGCCAACAGCACAGGTATCGTGATCATGATAAATAACAACATTAATAAGTGGACACTTAAAAAATAGTGTTAGAAAAATATTTTTGATTTATCTACAGAATAATCTACAGAATTGTAAACTGAATTTAGAATAAGACATTTTATGAAAACATAAAAATACAATTGAATTAATAATAATAATAATAATAATAATAATTTATTTATTTAGTTAATGAATTGCAATTTTTAGTCTTTACAACAGTTAATTGATTTTTCAACTACCCTTTATTTCTAGTTTCAATCATAATTGTAGTTTTTAATGTTGAATATACAGGGTCTTCTGAAAAGAATGTTACCATTTTAAATAACTGTAATTATATTAATTATTATCTGAAAAGTATGTGATGTACTGTACATCAATCAATAGAGTAAATATCAGTTTCGTCTACCATCTGCATGCAAATGTTTTTTTGTTTGCTGCCTTTAGGAAGCATCGTAAACAAAAATGCTGACTCCGTAACAGAGAAGGCGTTTTCTGTTCTGCATTTTGCAAAGTTGAAATCGCTCATCATTTTTTTAGACAATTTTAAAGCAATCTTCCATGTAAAACAGATATTTTTGTTGCACAGTGATGACCGATTCCAGCTTTGCAGACTGCAGAATACGAAATGTCTTCTCTGTCGCAGGGTCACCATTTTTGTTTACGGGGCTCCCCAGAAGCAGTAGACAAAAAGACGTTTAAATGCGGATGGTAGATGAAACTTGGACGTTCACTCTATCAATTATTGTCCAATGCATACTTCTGAGGTAATAATTAAGATAATTACAGTAATTTAAAGTGGTAGCATTCTGTTTGGAAGACCTTTAATTATTTATAATTTATGATTGTTTTTTTAAATTTTAATAATAATAATGTAAACTTGTATCATGGTGGATTTTAAACAATTGATATTTAATTATTCTTTATTATAGTCCAGTGGAGCATTTGTTTTTGGTGCAATGAGTTTTTTGGATAAATTAGCAAATGGTATAGCTGTGGTAACTATCCAGAATTTACAGCCCTGCATGTAAATATAGTTTTTAATTAATTTTATATATATATATATAATTTTCAATATACATTGAGTTATTGTGGAAAAACTTTTATACAGGACTTGCTGCAGTAGCTGCAAGTGGTATTATAAATACATACTGATTTACGTCTGTGGAGGATCTGTGATTAGCGCACTTATTGCATTAGCTTCCCTCCTCTCTTCGAAAATTGGTGAGACAAAATCACGAGGTAAGCTAATGATATTCAAAAACATAATTCAATTTTAACTCTAACTCTATACCAGATTAAATTATATATATTATTTTTTTTAGGTTTAATAAGGAATAATCGGGCAGAAATCTGTGACAGAGAGTCTTCAAAAGAAAACGCCATAGATGATCAGATTAGTGACAATGCACCTTTGATATTAGATACCGGTGACATTTGCAAAGCATCTCAAACAAATGGGGCTGTTATAACATGATGTTTCCTTAATTTAATGCCAAAGCTTTTTATCACTTTTATTCTCTAGTCAGTATTGAAAATTGTTAATATTATATATTAATTATTTTATTCAAATAACGCAATGTTACTTTCGGACAGGTTTTAAAAGCTCATAAGTTTATTTCAGCATATAATGTTGTACAAAATCTGTTTTTAGTGAAATTTTTTATACAGTGTTTAAACACATACATTCCAAGCCAAATTCTTATCTGTGATAGTAAAAAATTGGGGAAATTATAAAGGAAAACAAAACTGTCACCCTGTTTAAGATCTGTGTTTGGATCAATGTAATAAATTGCTTTTGTTTGTTTGTTTTTCTTTGATTATGCAACAGTGCAATAATATATCAGTTAACTGTTATATAGAAACATTAACAATTGCAATAAGATTTAAGTAAGGAGACAGGTTTTACACTCCTACAGGACTGTTGTACAATTTACATCCTAAAATTCAAAGATAATTAAATATTATTGAGCATTTAGACAGCCTCGGCTACCATCTAAATATTCGATAAAGTGCGGGAAAAAAGACGACAGAAGATCGCTTTATTATCATGTGTATTATGTAAATTAGTAAAAACAATCAAAGACTGGGACAAGAACATGTCAACAAGTTTCTGGGAATATCACACTAAAGTTCCAAATTTTCTCTTTATTTTAGAATAGAACACAAGTGATTAATGATAATGATACAGTCCGGTTTGTAAGAATTACGGGCACGAGTCTGAAAATTGTTTGTAGAAATTTGACAATGTTCAATGAAGAAGCCTACAAATTATACAATGTTCAATGAAGAAGCCTACAAATTATAGGACGAAAACGTTAACACGTTTTCGTCCTATAATTTGTAATTTTGAACATAAATTAATANTTTTCTATAACAATAGGAAGCGAGACAAAACAAGAAGCTACTCATCTCTCAACTGGCATTTCGACCGAACTTTCAAATTTTTGACCATTTTTTTTTTTCTAGTCTACAAGAAAAGGCGACTGTCTACTTTTTCTCTTTCCTCCCTCCTCCTTCGAATCTTTGCGGAAAATGACGCGCGGCAAATGTTACAAAATCTGTTTCTGACGCGCCAATTACAGATAATATAATGTTAAAATTTCTCAGATGTACTGTGTAATGTTAGATACATTTAGGGGATAATTTATTTCCATACAAGCTGATTATTTAATTAGTATTTAATTTATTATAACTACATTTATGACCCAAAAAGAAAACCTGTATACACTATAGTGAGATGTTAATCATATATATCTATAAAATATGATACAAGCTTTCTTATTTGATTATTTATGATGATATTTTTAAATATTTGAACTCAGGGTATTATTATTTATAATGTAAAACTATCCTGACCTTTCTAATAAATTATTTTTAATTAAATGTGGTGGTGTTTTATATTTCCTTGATTTATATATTAAGATATGTATCTTAATATAACTTTGTAAATTAACAGGAAAATTTTATTCATGATTTACTTTAGAAAATCTTCGTAAATTATTGATTAAATCTAAATATGTAAATTAATGAATATTTTAAGATAATTAAAACCTTTTTTAAAGGGTTTTTTAGTTTATAGTTGCTGCTTTTGATAACAGATGGCGCGCGACGGTCATAACGAGAAGTGACGTTCTCATCCCCATTCTCCTTCCTTTTTTTTAATCATCATCCTTTTTTAAAGGCATTTTTCATATTTTCAGCTTTGTGTAGCGTTTGAAAAGCTTAAAATTCTCAATTTAATCACAGGAAAATCATTTCTCTCGATTTATGACGTAATAAAACACGCCTATTAGTTAAACGACGTGACGGTATAACGATTGTTTTTTTTATATAAATTTCTATAGTTTTTTTTTTCTTTTTTCGAATTAGATTTCATCCCTTCCTCTATAAAAAGGTTCAAAATGAAACACGCGTTTGACGTAAAATTCAAATTTAGCACGTGATAATACGTCATCTGAAACAGACGGGAAAAAAAATTAATCCGATTCACGATTGTCGTCAGTTTCGCACGTGTTCGACGTGAAACAGACACGTAAAAACTGATCAGTTTCACTTCTAACAATTAAATTTTTAAAAATCACGTGCGCTATTATTACGTAAGCGACGACAGCGCCTCCACGCGAATTTCTGTAGAAGTTTAGAAGTATTTTACCAATCTACGACGTTATAAAACTCCTATTAAATTTTATAAGGTAGAGAGAAATATATTTAGGGAGAAATATAATACTAGAACACCTGAAACGTTACAGGAATATATATATATATTTTTTAAAGAAAAGGGGGAATAAAAACAAGTTTAGAATTGTGAATTGACTGTACGAAGGAGTTTGGAAGATGCAGTTTTGAGTATGATTTATTGTAATAGGAACAGTTTGGAAATTCAGACTCCTGATACGGTCAGATGACCGGCTTTCCAGTTGAGAGAATACTGTAGCCTAGTAGCTTTAACACAATGTTTAAAGTTTATGACATGCAGTTAAGCGATATGATCAATGGTATCAGAGTGGTGAGTAGATGTAGTAGTTTCGGATCGAATATTAGAGACATGGACCTAGCGTGATGTGTTACCAACTGCAGAATGGTACGTTGGTTGTTAGCTGGAGCGTGAAACAGGCTCGGGCGCTATCATTGTATTAAACCTTTTATCTCTGCCTGCTGTGTTGTAATTATGTCATCAAATATTGCATGAGTAAGTTTCTGGCCACCTGCGGCTTTATAACGCTGTTTTGGGTTGTACGGATTTTCGGAGGGTAGAACACACCACACGTTGTGGCGTTGTGGCTTCTTGGCTTGACTTTTATGACAGCGAATTATGTAATAAACCTTTAATGATGCCACTTTCGCGCCTGTGATAGCCTTATCGTTATGCTTCACGATGTAGCCAACGGTTGTGCTGGGAAGACTGTTTTACAGGGTTTTACTCTTTTTTTTAAAACGATTTTTACTGCAGTTTAAGGGATAAATTTTTACTTTTTTTTTTTGTAATAGAGGATAGAAATTGGGTTTATAAATTAGATTTATTATTCTTTTAAATTTTAATAAGTTAACTTTCTTTTTCCTGCATCTTCGTGCTTCGTTCGAGCATCATCTGAATTAAGTTACCGAATATTATTTTTTTAATTTAATTTTTTTTTCTATAAATAAAATAATAATAATAATTTCTGATTTTTTAAGAATATAAATAAAATTTTACCTGTATAATTTAGAAAATTAAACAGGTATTTATTATTATTTTTTAATTTGTTTTACGTGGAAAGATGCGGAAGAGCAAATGATGTGGGGTTTTTTTTTCATTTTAAAATTATTCTCTGGAAACTGAGATTATAATTTTGAGTAGCATAATTAAAATTTGAAGTAGAAAATATTTTAAATAATTTAAACAAGAAAAAAAGGAACTTTATACCGATTTCTAAGTTAAATCGTAAAGTTTAGATCCATTTTCTAGCTTAATAAATGCATTTAAAGTAGCATTAATTGGTATAAATAAGTACATAAAACACCCTCTATAACTTCTGTAGTGTGTCCTATTTTGATCACGTGAGGTAATTAATAAATTACGTCACCGATAAGGGAAGTCGAATCACGACTTCTCGCTCGTTTCGTGATCGCACGAGCCTATACACTAAAAAAAAAAAAGAAGAGGGTATTATTTAATTTCCTCGATGATTTCAGTTTAATTTTGTGTACCCAATCACGCCAATTAGCATCACTTCCTGTAAGAGGGGACGTAGAGAGTACAATAAATCAAGTTAACAGCCTGTCAAAGGAGACATCTGCTTCTGTGGCTTCCCTATTTGAGAGGGAGATAACAGTAGAGAAAGAAAGAGAAAATAGGGAAGAAGGAAGGGGGAAAAAAGAAGAAAAAAAAATCCCTGCTTCCAGACCAGTGATTCTTCATTGGTTCGTCCATCCCATTAGTTTCTGAAGCAGGATAGTCAAGTATCAACGCTTCCTTTCTATCCGGGCGGACGATTTTTCACAAAAGTTCTCACTCCCCGCTATCGAAATTTACTGTTTTCTACGCTTTTATTTTTCTTCTGTTCTTTTCTATAACAATAGGAAGCGAGACAAAACAAGAAGCTACTCATCTCTCAACTGGCATTTCGACCGAACTTTCAAATTTTTGACCATTTTTTTTTTTCTAGTCTACAAGAAAAGGCGACTGTCTACTTTTTCTCTTTCCTCCCTCCTCCTTCCTTCCCCTTCTCCTTCCCTCCCCTCGCACGCTACTTCCTCTCGAACAAACGAAGTTTTTAACTTCATTTTTTTTGCAAAAATTACTCGATGTTTGCGGTGAGAAATCGCTGTTAAACAGTGAAATTTTTATATTTTTCACCCCTACCTCACGTGAAAGACGGGTTCGAATTGCTCCTTCTTATCTTTCATCCCACCTTCAGCATCCTCATCCCGCTGTTCACTTAACGATAAATAATTAAAGGAGTTAATTAAATTTTTAAAAAATAATAATAATATGACGTGTTTTCAAACGAATAGACTAAGGGACTGTAAAATAAGCATCCGTCTATTTGTCTGTCCGTAATTGCACACCTCTAAAACTGTTTTAACGTGTGATAAACCCCGTTAAGTATTCGACACTTGTGTATAATTTCCGATCGTCTTTAGACATTTTAACCGATTTTTGGCACTTTTTTTTTAGCGTTTTAGAGCCTCAAATAATTAATTTTCTAAAGGGTAAAGCCTCTCAGACGTACAGTACGTTTTACATTTGAGCAGCTTCACCACCTTTACAGAAAAATAAACCATTTTTAAAAGCCAATAACGTTGCAGATCGACCTTTTTTTTATATATATTTCAAGAGAAAAAATGTACAATAAATCATTAAAAAAAACGTTGTCAACGTTTCCAGCCGTCTTTAAACAATAAAGAAAAAAAAAAAGAATAGTTGTGTAATACTTATCGAGAAAACACAAGTGCACAGAAGACATTATTGTGACGTTATTATAGCAAAAACGTCACCATTTATCACTCATACGACTTTAAAAAGGGGTGGGTTTTCTTCCCCTTTCCCCCCCCCTAGAGAGGGTGGAAACCGCTAGAAGTTGCACGTTTTTATTGCATTCGAACCACACGAGTAAGGAATTAAAACACACAGCCAGTGGAATTTTTTAATCTAGTGGTCTGGACACTTTTTATTACAAAGTGAAACATGGATACTAGATTATTTTATCCCTTTCTTCTTCTTCTTCTCTTCCTTCTTACGGTCCCCCCTTTTTAGTATAGGAAGATGTAATGAAAATAACACCAGAACTACAGACAATAATATCTTTAGTGGTGTGAAATT